AATGACCAACTTACAACATCAGCCTGCTACATTTGGCCAAACATTTAATTAACTAATGGCTTGGCAGGACCAGAGCAAATAATTTCGAAGGCCTTATATGGCCTACGGGCCAGACGTTCCCCATCCCTGAAACTAACAACTGAAAATCCAGTGGTGAAATGAGGGTTAGTGGGTAACATCCAGGGAACTGAGACAGAAAACTGTGGTTTACTGAAGAGTTGAACTCTCAAACTTCATATGTAGGGGATTTCTGAAAATGGTTTATAAAAACATAAAATATTGTTAAGACTTACTTCTGCCCACCCCCTCTTTATAAACCTTTACTATCATTGAACTATAACTTTGGGAACATTCTTACAATTCACTATGTTGAAAAACTGAAAATTTGACCATGGCCCTGACCGGTTTGGCTCAGTGGATAGAGCGTCGGCCTGCGGACTGAAGGGTCCTGGGTTCGATTCCGGTCAAGGGCATGTACCTTGGTTGTGGGCACATCCCCAGTAGGGGGTGTGCAGGAGGCAGCTGATCGATGTTTCTCTCTCATCGATGTTTCTAACTCTCTGTCCCTCTCCCTTCATCTCTGTAAAAAAATCAATAAAATGTATTTTTTAAAAAAATTTGCCCATGGACTAAAAACCTCTCTAGTAAAATTAATTCTAAAATTATCTGATACTTGAAGCTTTTAAAGTCTATGAGGCCAGGTAGGAGCACAAGCCTCATCACATCATTATATTATTTATAGATGTGAGACTTCAGGCACAGAGAAATAACCACTCAACATGCGTGGCACATTCTAAAAACTAACAGATCCATTACTGTGATGATAAATGAACAAATTCTTCATCTATTACAGGTACAACAAAGGCATTATATTAAACTCAAGAGGAGGAGAACAAGGAAGAGGGAGAAGAGGGGAAGAAAAAAATAGGTACAATAAGCACTAGAGAGGATGCAGAGAAGTTGGACCCCTGTTGGTGAGGTGGGAAACGGTGCAGCCATGGCAAAAGGCAGTATGGTGGGTTCTTACAAACACTCATTCATTCCAAGGAGTGGGTCTGCTAAGTTAAAACTAGGAAAAATAAAACTGCAAATGATGCTATTTCCTGAGACATCCATTCACATATTGTACATTCTCAGCCAACAAAGAAAGTCTGTGCCCTGGCTAGTTGGGCTCAGTGGATAGAGCGTCGGCCTGCAGACTGAAAGGTCCCAGGTTCGATTCTGGTCCAGGGCATGTACCATGGTTGCGGGCACATCCCCAGTAGGGGGTGTGCAGGAGGCAGCTGATCAATGTTTCTCTCTCATCGATGTTTCTAACTCTCTATCCCTCTCCCTTCCTCTCTGTAAAAAATCAATAAAATATATTAAAAAAGAAAGAAAATCTGCAACACTAAATTTTACTATTGAAATAAACACTGAAGATAGCTGTTAAAATAGCAGGCGTAGAATAATAGTTCTCATTCATAATTTAGCAACATTAATGAATTTCAAAAAAACTAGACATAACTGGCATCCAATGCCAGGAAACACACACACACATGAAAATGTCAGACTTACAACAAAAGCAAGCTCTGAGTTAACGCAAATGAATTCTAGACAATATTTCTTTTGAAAATATTACCTCAATATTTAATTGAGTTACTGCATCTGCTCTTATAAATCACTGAGACTCTTCAAGTCAACTGAGGCATTGCCATAGTATTTTGGATTTTCATTTTAGAACATGTTAGAGATTTAAAGCTCCCATGTACAAACCAGGCTAATTGCTTCCTCTGAAAACAAAGTTAAATAGAAGTTAATATATTATGTTTCCTTGGGAAGATCCTATGATGTAACAGACAATGTGTAAGTACCTATTTCCTCCTGTGCTGCACACATTCTATTCTAAGACCAAAATAGCTCTGAGGGCAAAGAAAAGGCAATGTCTAGGAATGAGGCTCCAGGAATACCCTCCGTTCAGGAAAGAGTCATTAATTCAGGGTGGAAAGAAGTCAGGGACATCAAACCCACAGGCCATGCCCATGGCCTTTAGCATATGACTAGCAGGCAAATGCTTAATCTTTTTTTTAAAATATATTTTTATTGATTTCAGAGGAGGGAGAAGGAGAGAGGGACAGAGGGAGAGGAAGAGGGAGAGAGAGAGAAACATCAATGATGTGAGAGAATCAATGATCGGCTGCCTCCTGCATGCCCCCCACTGGGGATTGAGCCTGCAACTCAGCATGATCCTTGACAGGGAATCAAACTGTGACCTCCTGGTTCATAGGTCCACGCTCAACCACTGAACCACACCGGCCAGGTACTTTCCATATTCTTATATAGAAATAAAAACTTCTGGGAGGCTAGGGTTTTGTGTATTAAAAAATGTGTATTGACTTTTTTGGATATAAAGATATTTTTCTTTTGCCTCCATAGCAAGGGTCCAGAAGATTAAAGAAAAGAAAGAATTTCCACTCATTTATGAATTGAGGCCAAAACTAGCATTAGAAGAAAAATCAGAATAAATTAATAACCCTAGGAGAATGACCGTTGAAATCACTGCCTCTATTGTAACCCTGTTGGATGATAGGTTAGAACTGTCAAAGTCTTCTAAAAAATGATTGGTCAATAGAAAAAAACAAAGAAACAAACAAAAAAAAAACTCACCTTGATTTTTACCTAGCTATGTGCTGACCTAATTCAATCGTTGTCCAATGATAACTTGAAAACAGCCAATAAATAAAATGTGGCTTTCTGGTTGACTTTCACTGAAATCTATAATTAATGGCCTTTCACAACCAGAATATCACATCCAGCTTTGAAAAGAACAATTCTCATTACTTTTCTCAAGATGCACTCTGGATATATGTTCTTTTGGCTCTCAGTGTAAGAAGTATTTTTCCCAGCTTTTAAAATGTATATGCTTTACATATTGTATAACCACCCTTAGAAATAAATTATCACAAGAAATGAAGATCCTAAGGCGGAACTATGCCCTGTGACAAGGCCTTTGGGCGCACATGTCCCTTGGTCAAGTCAATGAGAGTAGAAAGCCGCTTACATAATGCCCTGGCCACAAGGGCTGGGAGAGCGTGGGAAGACTTGGTCTTAAGGCGAGTTGCATAATCCTATCTCATTCTCTGGAGCTTTTTAAAGGGGGAAGGAGAGAGGCAATGATACGTCAAAGATAGTTTGGCTGCAATCCTGCCCGAAGGCTTGACAATGGATTCTATGGCCATTCCAAAATCTGGATAAGAATCCATGATAAGCCCTAGCCAGTTTGGCTCAGTGAATAGAACTTCGGACTGCGGACCAAAGGGTCCGGGTTTGATTCCGGTCAAGGACATGTTCCTGGGTTGCAGGCTCCTCCCCGGCGCGGACCCTCGTCATGGCCCATGAAGAAGGCAACCAATCGATGTGTTTCTCTCACATCAATGTTTCTCTCTGTCTTTCCCTCTCTCTTCCACTCTCTAAAAATAAATGGAATATACCCTTGAGTGAGGATTTAAAAAAAAAGAAAGAATCCATGATGATACGAGAGATTTGGGCCACCTTCAACATCTTTGGAGTTCAGATGCCATCACTGTTTGGCCACAGAAAGGAGGGGCTATTCCATCTTCCTTATAATTACTGCCCTGATTATTACATTAGACTTTCACAATATAATCCCTTTATGTGCCTCACTGCCTCTCCGGGGCGAAGTAAGGACCATGGTGGGTCGCCTGCGGAGGGAGCTAGCCGCGTGGCCTCACCCAGTGCGCCCAGCTGCCAGCTCCAAGCACAGCCAGGTGGGCAAGCCCAGAGCACTAATCTGGACAGTGACATCTCTGTCTCCCGCTCAGAACCCTTGCAAGTTGCTCTCTCCAATACAGAGCGCAGCTGAGCATACACATCAATGCCAAGATCAGCCTGGGCCCCGCTCGGCGAGGCTCCTGGTCGAGTTTCAGCATCCAAAGGAAGACTTGGGCACAGAATTCCCACTGTTTTATCCCAGGGATTGCTCAGTCACTGCTGCAGAGCTAATAATAGCGAAGCCAGTTGATTTGTTTAAACAACTCTCGGGAAATTGTTTCAAATACTTGTTCTATCTTTAGGAAACATACTGAGGACCAAAGAGTGTAACCCACCTCCCTCCCCCCCAAAATACCTGGCTTTCTCTCAGGGCATTTGTATGAGGAATTTAACCCCAACCCACCAACCTTTGGAAACAATGTTAACATAAAATGTAGATAAAAAATAGAAGTCCAGCCAGCAAGTGGCCTGGCACACAGTAGGTTCTCAGAAAATACAGGGTGTCCCAAAATAATGTATATACACACTTTAAATAATTATAAAGGCAGTGTTTATTAAAATACATTTCATTTTCAAAATTGAGCTATCAGCTGTTAAAGTGTGTATACATTTGGGGGAACACCCTGCATTTGTTGAGAAAGCAGGAATGTTTTTCATACTGAGAACTTCCTTCATGTGTCAGAATACACAGTATTTGTTGATTTATCCCAAATTATTTGCTTATCTTTATGCAGCTAGATCCAGAGCTGTGTATTCCAAGTTACCAAAATCAAATCACCAACATTTAAATTTTAGCTACTCTGTGTCCTTAGTATCTTAACACTGTGGACAACGGCTGGTAAGGACCAAAGACCTGAAGTGTGCTTCATTACCGAGTTTTGCAGTTTTATAAATAGGCTACAGAGATGTTTCCAGCCCAGCCGGTGTTGCTCAGTGGCTGACTGTCAACCTATGACCCAGGAGATCACGATTCGATTCCTCGGGGGGAGTTGCAGGCTCGATCCCCAGTGTGGGGTGTGCAGGAGGCAGATCAATAATTCTCTCTCATCATTGATGTTTCTCTCTCTCGCTCTCCCTTCCTCTCTGAAATCAATAAAAACATACAAAAAAAAAAAGATAGAACTACAACAGTGAAACTTGACGAATGAGGATAAGAACTAGGGAAACCAACCAACCAACCATCACGTGAGGCTGGAAGAGGGTAGGGGATCCCCAGTTCCCAAACTAACCTTGAATCGTCCTCTTAAAGAACGCCTTGCAGGCTTCACACGACGCGACCCCGTAGTGGTACCCAGAGGCGATGTCCCCGCACACCAAACACAGTCTCTTGGGCATGGAGTTGAGCATGTATTCACACTTGGTCTGGGGGTCCTCCACGATGGTGCTGGAGCAGTCGTCATACAGTTTCCTGACGGGCCCGCTGCCTCCCAGGATGGGAGCAGAAGGGTAGAGAGGCGGCGAGTCAAGTCCGTTCTGGTGGCCATTCATGGTTGAACTGTAGCTCCCACTGGCGTCCGAGGAGCCGCCTGGGCTGTGGTGGTTGACGCTGTCCGTCAGGGAGGCCGGGCTGGAGGGTTCCGTCTTGATGAAGGACGAACAGCTGGAATCAATGTGTCGATCTTTGTTTGACATTCTGCAGAGAAGCCTGGGATTCAGGGAGAGACAGACAGAGGGAGAAAGAGGAGGAGAGAGAGAGAGTCAAACACAGTGACCAAAAGAGGTAGAAGCAAAGAAAAAGTAAAAAAGTAAATGGAGAAAGTGAAAGGGAAGAATAAATGGAGGGAAAACAAAGGATTCATATGGTAAAGACATTGCCCCTTGTGGGAGCCCTGCCTAAGACCTAGGGATTTCCCATCATGCATTCTCTAGTCAGTATCTCTTGTTCTACAAGAAGGGAATCAGCATAAGGCCATGTCAGGGCTACATAAAAATGCCCAGGCAGCCCATGAGCAAAAGGTCTAACGGGTCCAATTCCTTTAATTGTACTCTTCTCTTGGCGAACAACAGTCAAGATCTAAATCAACTCTCTAGACCAGTGATGGAGAACCTATGACACGCGTGTCAGAGGTGGCATGCGAACTCATTTTTTTGGTTGATTTTTCTTTGTTAAATGGCATTTAAATATATAAAATAAATATCAAAAATGTAAGTCTTTGTTTTACTATGGTGGCAAATATCAAAAAATTTCTATATGTGACACGGCACCAGAGTTAAGTTAGGGTGTTTCAAAATGCTGACATGCCGAGCTCAAAAGGTTCGCCATCACTGCTCTAGACTCTAAATGGACCCATGGAAGAGGAGTGACCTGCAGAGTCCGCATCATGTCTAGAAGCGCATCTATTTTCACTCTACTTTTCCCTTCCACTTTCACATCCTGCAATCATTTTCTTAAGAGCAGAACCAAACTTTTATTGTCAAGACTGAACCGATGAGTTTGTGGCTCTGTAATTACTATTTGTCAGCCCTCTTCCATATAGCTGTGTTTTTTATTGATCTGAGACACATAGGAAATGTATCCTCAGTCATTTTGCTTCTTTATTCAAACGGTTCTATTTCACATGGACCATTGTAAAAAAACTTCAAGTATAAAATGTTAGCTGATGTGTAAAGATTACTTCCTGGAGCCCACAAATGTTAGTGAAATGATGACTAGCACTGATGAATAAATATGTTTGTGTGTGTGTGTGTGTGTGTGTGTGTGTGTGAGAGAGAGAGAGAGAGAGAGAGAGAGAGAGAGAGAGAGAGAGAGAGAGAAAGAGAGAGAGAGAGATTTGCCACTGTTGGAGAGATGAATCAGCAGAAGCCATTTGAGCCTACGGTATACTTGTGCCCACTCCCATAAATCTGATACTTTATATTCAGCAAAGTAAGAAGACATCAAATTTTGTGATGGGGAGAAAAAAAGAGATTTGTGATGGTCCCCTTTCCTCCCCATCTTGTGGTCTTTTAACATGAAACCTCCTGGAAACAAATGTGGACATCTATGGTGACAAACTCTCTTATCTAGAAGGAACATCCTGCCGTCTCCCTTGGTTGGGCCCATCAGCGATTCAGTTTCTGAAAAGGTAATTAGATGAAAAGATATAATGGGTCCTATTTTCCTCCCGCTCAGCCACAGTGCAAAACCCCTTTTAGCGAAGCCCCTAAGAACCTTCTGAGAGCCCACTATAGGAAGGAGAGGTGACAGTTGAGAAAGGGACTTAGATAATTGCTTCCCAGTGGAAAGTTGATTTATGGGAATCCCACAGAGTAATGGTCACTCGCCAGAATTTGGGGGAGCAGCCAAATGAATGCAATTATCTCTTTCACTATAAATCCAGTCATGTTTGATCACTGCACAGATTTCATGCTCTCCTCCACACCCCTCCCCCACTGCTCTGTTACTTTAAAGTGAACAAAAATATGTCCTAGCCGGGTTTGCTCAGTGGGTAGAACACTGGCCTGTAGACTGACGGGTTTGATTCCCAGTCAAGGGCTCATATCTCGGTTGCAGGCTCCATCCCAGCCCCCGGTCAGGGAGTGTGTGGGAGGCAACCAATCAATGTGTCTCTCTCACATTGATGTGTCTCTCTCACATCTATGTCTCTCTCTCACATCGATGTCTCTCTCTCACATCGATCTTTTTCTCTCTCTGTCTCTCCCTTCCCTTCCACTCTCTCTACAAACCAATGGAAAAATATCCTCGGGTGAGGATTAACAACAACAAATATAATAATAAAGTGAACAAAAATATGGAATTTCCTATCAGGAAATGTTCACTGTCCCAAGAAGACCGTCCCAAGAGCAAGCATTTGCCTCTTAATCAATATACTGCACCGTGGACACTGTATTCTGCTTCCTAGAGTTAAGCAGGATCAGGGCGTGAGAAAAGCAAACGGGAAAGAGAAAGCCCCCCTAAGGCCTTGCTTGCGGCCCACCCGCCTGTGTTGTCCTTTCAAAGAACCAGAAGAACGAACCACCCCCTCGCCAGCCTGCACGGTGCCCGCTCCCCGGCACGCGCGGCCCGTCCCCGTCACTGTAGTCACCGTTAACGAGCGCTGTAATTAATAGATCGCTCTCCTGGCTCCCCGCACGCACTTGGGGCGAAGCACTTTTCCTCGAGTCAACGTTTGAAAGAAAGCGGGTCGGCGCTGACTTACAACAGCCCTGCAAATCCCTTTTAATTTAGAGCACTTACCCCACCACACTCCACTCATTACCTTATAATTACTGGACTCTTCGCACATACATTACGATCTGAGACCAGAGTTAGAAGTTATTAGGGTATTAAAACATGGCTGTTCCCTTTCCTCTCTCCGGCTCTGAATTTCTCACAGCTATGACAATTAACTCTTTCAAAACTGCCTGGCAACACCATGTCTTATTTTGTTTTTTATCTATATTTTTACTGATTTCAGAGAGATAGGGAGAGGGAGAGAGAGATAGAAACATGGATGATGAGAGAGAATCATTGATCAGCTGCCTCCTCCATGCAACCTGGGCCTGTGCCCTGACTGGGAATCGAACTGTGACCTCCTGGTTCATAGGTTAATGCTCAACCACTGAGCCACACAGGCTGGGCTCAACTTATTACTTTAATTTTAATTATTTTAAGTGGTCCATGGTTCTTTTCAGACATGAACAACCTCCTTCATGTACACCTTCTGCCAAATTAAAATCATAATAGCCACGTTGTCATGTATCAAGTGCTTGTAAGGTGCCAGGCACTAGTCTGAGCACTTCACAACATATTACCAGATTGAATCCCCAAGACAACCTCGGGTCTGACTCCAAAGCCCAGTGCAGCCATGTCTTGAAGCCAACAGACATTTTAGAGGTGTGCACTGATTTCTTAAAAATGGCCAAGCAAGTGCAGATGTCTCATGGAGAGCTATTCCATCCTCAGCTCAGCCATGAGCAAAAAGGGGCTGTTGGGGACAGCACACTGGCTGAGGGGTGGTCCCTGTTGAGCCTCCTCTCCAGGGTGATAGCGACACCTAAACAAAACTTCCAAAGGAACACAGTTGACTCCTAATGACACCTTAGCTCATTACACTGAACACTTCCTCGGCACCATTACATTATCCGCGAAAACTACGGCGGGTCTTAATTCTCTCCCTCTCTGTCTCTGAGATTCTATAGCTCTATTATTCAAGCCTGAAATATTCACAACTATCTATAAATTCAATTGTCAGCTGGTGGGTTTTATTCTAGACTTCACTTCAATCTAAAATTAGAGGCACTAAAATTCGCATTAACTCTAAGAGGAATGTAGTGAATAAGACTTTATTTCAAAAGAACACCTTTTTGTCAGAAAGAGCCATTTTCAAGATGATGGCTTTATCTGCAGCCAAAGAGAATAAGCCCAATTCCACATTGTGCTGTTAACGCAGAAATTTCAGGTCACATTGGATTAATAAAAACTTGAATTTAGTTAAGAATTATGCATAGAAATAGCGTGCTGAAAACTGTGGGAAATATTTATTTTAAAGCTTAAGTATAGTTGCTTTTATTTTAACAGAAATGATGAGCCCTGGTTGGGTAGTTTAGTTGGTTAGAGCATCATCCCAATATACCAAGGTTGTGGGTTCGATCCCTAGTCAGGGCACATCCAAGAATCAACCAATAAATACATAAACAAGTGGCATAACAACTTGATGTTTCTTTCTCTCTCAAATCAATTTTAAAAAAATAAAATTATGAGTAGCACAAGGGAATAAGACTGTGATTTTCCAAAAACCTTTTCTGAGTGAATACTCTGAACTCAAACCAGGGGGAAAAATAATTATGAAACAAACAAACAAACAAACAAAAACCCCACAAACATTTAGAAACTATATTTGAGGGGTTTAACAGTCGTCCTGAGACCGGTAAATGTCAGTGCTTTGAAAAGTATTTTCAACAATTTGAGATAAGCCACAAATAATTCTGATTTCCATGCTTCATCATAAGATCTCATTGCCTAGCCTTGCTTAAGGGTCGGAAAAGGTCAATTTTATCTTTGGTGTTAGACACTAACGATCAGGCAAATAAAACTTCCTGGTTGCAGAACCACATAAGAATGTAATTTTTGAAAATTAATTAACGGTGTGTCTATGTGTGCCTGTATAGAGAGGAAGAATAAGAATCCAAGATAATCTGTAAGTTACTATTCAATTTACATTATAATCATTGAGCAAGCTTAATTGTTTTCAGAGTCTAGCTAGATCCAGGTAAATGTTTGATCTTGAATGAATTGCAGTGAATTTTCTCAGACCTGTGTATGCACCTGGGGGTTCCATATTTCCCAGATAGGACTAAAGCATCGCCAATATTTTAATTGTCAAATGCTGGAATATTCCACTCATTTATATATTATTATCCCAGTCATCAAAATAGTTCTTCACAAATAGATATATTTCATATGAAATTCAACTTTATTTGCTACTTTTGTTCCCTACGTAAAAATTGGTGCATAAAATTCTCAGAAGAAACATATGCACAGGTCTTCTTCAGTCATCCTGATTGTAACAGGAGGCAAGGATTTTTGAAACTTTTACTATGTCAGTGACAGACACCTTAATAGGCTCAATGAATGACAACTAAACAAGTCACTCTTTTTTTTTCTCTTCCTTGTCATCCTTAAGGGCTGAAAAAGGTACCCATCCTTACAAATTCCAAACACAT